AGCAGCTCTTGGGTTTCAACTGCCAACCTTTCAGTTAGCAGCCGAGCACTTAACCACTGTACCATCAGGGCTCCTTCAGGCCTATAAAATAAACAGTAACACACATGAGGAACGTGCTTCTTAGATCAATCAAGTATATGAGACCAAATGGGTAACACCTGCCCAAAAGCAAAGACGAGAAGGCAGGAAGGGATAGGAAAAACTAGATGAATGGAAATAGGGAACCTGGGGTGGAAGGGGAAGAGTGCTGACACATTGCAGGGATTGCAACCAATGTCATGAAACAGTCTGTTGTATAAATGTTTTAATAAGAAACTAATTTGCTCTGTAAACTTTCACCTAATGCACAATTTAAAAAAAAAATTAAAACATTATAAACTCCCCCACTGAATTTGCAAAAGCAGCAGCAAAGACATATGTGATCGAATACAGTAGAACCAGATATTAAAGGTTCAACAACTCCTGGAAATTCCCATAAAATTGAAAAAATCATTTACAAAATTCTAGTAGACTTATCACTAGTCTAAAAAAGTAATGGTTTTTAGATAGTTGAGATCTCAATTGTCATGGCATTCACCATGTGCAAATAGCAACCATGACAACCAACAACATTTCTTGAGAAATTACTATGTGCCAGGCATTCTCCATGGTGCTTTATATATAGTTTTCTTATTAATCAGTAAGAATCCTATGAGTCATGTGGCATGTACTGTTATTATCCCCATTTTATAGACAATGGTCACAGGATAGTACATATGGTTTGTGTTTCACTGGTAACTGAAAAGGTTGGAGGTTTAAACCCATCCAGTTGTGCCACAGAAGAAAGGCCTGGCAATCTGCTTCTGTAAAGATTATAGCCAAGAAAATCCGATGGATCTCAGTTCTACTCTGTAGCACATGGGGTCGCTATGTGTTGGAATTGACTTGATGGCAACGGGTTCGGTCTGGTTTTGGTTTATAGATGAGGAAACTGATAAACAGGGCAGCTAGGTCATTTGCCTTGTCATGCAGCTAATAAGGAATGAAACTTGGAATGAATCCAGATAATACTGACCTCAAGAATGTACTCATGGATAGATAATTAACTTTAAATATTTAAGTACAATTAAGTGTTACTTCTGATTCCTGTTTTTTAATACACACCCTTGAGTCTTTTATCAGAATATAGGCATTTGCACAGAAAACTGCCAGTCTGAGGACTGGCTCACCAAAAGCAATTTTCCATCTCTGGTAGCAACAACAGAGGCATTTGGTTGTAGGGAAAATTAATGTCATTTATAATCTTGCCTATAAAACAAGTTAAGCAATAAATTTATCAGAGTAAAGGGGGTAGATTTTGTAACTTATTAGAAAAATGTGCCCACATAAAAATTAAAATACACTTTAGGAATGATGTTATGGTCATTTTGCTTCATATACTTCCCTAACGGTGTTGGATATTACTTGAAAAAAGGTCTGGGCTTTACCCCTACGCATCTCAGCTTTCATTAGTAAATCTACAGATCCATCTACTCTTTTTTTTCCCCAAACAAGTCTTACTTTCAATTTTTATTTCCTCTTGTTTTGGAAAAGGAGCCCTGGTGGCACAGTGGTTAAGCACTCAGCCACTAACTGAAAGGTCAGCAGTTCAAACCCACCAGCTGCTCTGTGGGACAAAGATGTGGCAGTCTGCTTCTGTTAAGATTTACAGCTTTGGAGACCCTACGGGGTTGTTCTACTCTGTCCTACAGAGCTGCTATGAGTAGGAATCTACTCTCTCCTATAGAGTTGCTATGGGTAGGAATTGACTCAACAGCAACAGATTTTTTGGAAAAGTAACAGTTCTTTTATTTCTTCTAATACCATTTACTTCAAGGCAATCCTCAAGTTCTAGTATTTTTAAAGTTTCATTCTAAACTTGCTGGGATTTCAACCTTTAATCATAACACTTTTTGGCCTTCATGTTTAGATTTCTAGGTTATTACCCATTAGGAATACTAGTGCTCTAAATCTTTTCAAATTAAATAAACATGTATCCATTCTTTCACCCATTTTAATTGCTTTCTCCAGACTTTTTCCAGTTCTTCTAGGTCCTTATTGAAGGGCAATGACCAGAACTGCATGCAATACATTTCAGGTATTGTGGTTTTATGCCATGCTAATATTTTGTTCTCAAATATCTTTTCCATACCAAAAAAAACAACGTATTTTTGGGCCAATCAAGCAAAATATTGAAAGAATATTGTATAAAAGTATAAAATGTCACTGGTTTATTTTCAATAATGTATTTGCAAATTTATAGTTTAGCAGGAATAGTTACCCCATTCCATGCTTCCTCTTGACTTTCTAAATGCATTGTTACACCTGTTCTCAATATAAAATCGAAGGAAATCTATTTTGGGATGATCATTTCATAAAGAACTACCAATTTTTACTCCATTTTACTTTTGGTGAAACCATACCATATCATACTGCTTTACAATACAGGGTTCCTTATATTTAAACTGTTCGTATGTTAAGTGACTATCTACTAGATATTTCTAATTGTTTTTTTTCCTCAGATGCATCTCTGCCAGGGCTTCGAATCAGTTCAGAACGGTTCAGTTATTGCTGATGTAAACCAGGGCAGCATACGTGTCGCATAGCAACCAAATTTGTTATCGCAGGATTCTAACCTAAGTAGGAAACAATCAAAGATGGCAACTGACTGTGCCACTTTGAATGTGTGTCGCTCTTTACGTCCTGCCAATAATCCAATCTCCTATATCAGGCTTCTTAAACTTTCTGGATCCATGCAGGAGACTGGATTATTGGCAGGATTACGGAGACTGACACACATTCAAAGCAGTGTGGTCGGTTGCCATCTTTGAGCAGGACACCACTGTTTGTTTCCTACTCTGGTCAAAATTCAACGGGCAACACATTTAGTTGCTATGCAACACGTACACTGCCCTCGTTTACGCTGGCAATTACTGAACTGATCCATACCAGTTCAAAGCCCTGATCTCAAGTCAATCTGACTGAAACTGAACTCATCTGCCACAAATCACTTTCCCTGAAAAGGGATGGAGAGGGGCCTATTTCTTTTCCTACATTTACTATTTCACTTTCATTCACTCATACCAAAATCCAAAATACTTGGATACCTCCATTTCCTTCAAATCCCAGATACACTCTATCACCAAGTCTTCTCAGTGTAGTATGCAAAATCTCTTCAAGATCCCAGCCCTACACACTGGCCTAGTCTCATCTCCCTCCACTTCCCCATCACACTTTATATTCAGTGACATATATAGAATTAAAGGATTTCTCATGCCTGGGACCACAGCATACAATCTCTACCAAGCAAATGTCTTTAGATCCTTCAAGTCTCAGTTTAAGAGCTGCCTACTATGGAAACAAAGAATCAACTAAATTTGTGAAAAACTCTTAAAGTGAAAAACAAAAAGAGAAAAGAGGCATAAAACAATGTGCAAAACAAAAGTATCTTCAGAGTAGGGGTACGACAGTACACAATACAGGGGAAGCCAGCACAAATTGTACAAGGCAAGGTCATGGAAGCTCCATAGACACAAACTCCCTGAGGGACCGAATTGCTGGGCTGAGGGCTGTTGGGTCTACTGTCTCAGGGAACATCTAGCTCAACTGGCATAACATAGTTTATAAAGAAAATTTTCTACATTCTACCTTGGTGACTAGCGTCTGAGGTCTTAAAAGCCTGTGAGCAGCCATCTAAGATACTCCACTGGTCTCACCCCTTTGGGAGCAAGGAGAATGAAGAAAACAAGGTACAAGGGAAAGATCAGTCCAAAGGACTAATGGACCACAACTACAAGGCCTCCACCAGACTGAATCCAGTACAACTAGATGGTGCCTGGCCACCACCACTGACTGCTCTGATCAGGATCACAACAGAGGGTCCTGGACAGAGCTGGAGAAAAATGCAGAACAAAATTCTAACTCACAAAAAAAGACCAGACTTACTGGCCTGACAGAGACTGGAGAAAGCCTAAGAGTACAGCCCCAGAAACCCTGTTAGCTCAGTAATGAAGTCACTCCAGAGGTTCACACTTCAGCCAAAGATCAGACAGGCCCATAAAACAAAATGAGACTAATGGAGCACAACAGTCCAGGGACAAGGACTAGAAGGCAGGAGGGGACAGGAAAGCTGGTAATAGGGAACCCAAGGTTGAGAAGGGAGAGTGTTGACATGTCGCGGGGTTGTTAATCAATGTCCTAAAACAGTATGTATACTAACCATTTAACGAGAAGCTATTTGTTCTGTAAACCCTCATCTAAAGTACAATAAAAAATAAAATTTAAAAAAAATGTAATTTCTTCCAGTATATTTCCCTTTACCATGATTTTTTCCACTATAACAACACATACAAACACACACACACACAAATTCATGTATGTCAAAGTGGGATCCTATCCCATCCTAGTATCTTCAACAGTGTTAACTGGGTACTCTGAAATTATTATAAAAACATTTAAAATTAGTACATAATAACAATATTTAAAACCTGAATTGAAATCACAAGCAAGGATGTAAGAAGAAAAGAGTAGGTAAAACAAAATGATTGTGACAAATGTGTAATCACTAATGATTTTTAAAGCAATTAAAAAAATGCAGTGACAAGGGAGCCTGCACAAACTAAGGAAATAAAGGGTTTTAGAGCAAAAGCTTAGTATACAGTTATATTTAAGTGTATTTTAAATATCTAAAAGAAAGACAAAGATATTTTAAACAGCATCAAATAATAAAGATGAAAGGAAACACTTATGTTTCTATTTAAATCATTTTTCTATGCTGGCAAAGGTACAATTGAATAATAATCCAATGGAAAGAGCAACATTAAGAAGACTAGGACGGCTAAAGGTTAAAATAATTTTCTATTCTATTTTCTGTGAACTAAACACCTGATTCTTACTTTGGCTTTATATTAACAAGGTTTTTTTGTTATCGTTCTTGTGTTTATTATTTTCATGGTAGTGATGATGTTACGTATGTAACTTGCCTGAGTGAGAAATGAAAGGAACAGAACCAAAAGGATCTTCTGGAGGATGGTTATGTGGAGCAGAAAGTGGGTCTACACTCTTATCTGAGGATGCTCTCTCCTCGAACCTGTCTGCAAAAATAAAATGAAACAAAACGAAAAATAAAATAAAATAAAAAACAAAATGTTCTTTAACTTAAAAAAAAAGTGATATACAGCATAAATAAAGGTGAAAAAACACAACAACAGCCTTTTTAAACATACATAGCTTTTAGGGAGCAGTCTTCAATTTAATATATATTTGTTGCAACACAAGTAAATTTAACAATATAATCTCAGTGCTAGGTTTCACAAAATACAATTACCCCAATAAATAATTTAGTCTTCAACTTGTAATATACTGGAACTGAACTTAAGCCCAGCTTATTAACCAGTCATAGTTGCCAGATTTTCTCCAAAAATGCACATAGAAATATTGCAAAATATTACAAAGTGGTTAATCATCCATAAAGTAGGCAAATCCTATGTATCAGCAGCAATAAAAAAATAATTCATTATATTTTATTGTTCGTTTTTCATACTAATTTGCAATTACTATCAAACCATTAACACACAAAGATATAATGATATAGATATTCCTCTACTACATTGAAAGTCTTAATGACAGAGTTGACTCATTCATCCAACAAATATTTGAGCACCTTGTATGTACCAGGCACTGTTCTAGGCACTTGGATATAACATCTAACAAAACAAAGACCCCTACCCTCATGGAGTTTATATGCTAGCACTGAAAAACAAATAATAAGCTATGAGCATAATAAGAAATTTATACAGCTATAAAGAAAAATGTAATGTAGAGTAAGGGAACTAGGGGAAGCACAGGTTGAAGTAATAAACAGGGTGACTGCAATATTTATGAGGTGAGATTTGAGAAAAGACCTCAAGGCAGTGAGGGAGTGGCTACGTGGGGAAGAATACTCCAGGCAGAAGAAGAGCCACAGCAAAGGTTCTAAGGCAAGGAACAGGTCTGGTGTGTTTAAGGTACAGTTGATGTATCCTAGTTCCCTAGTAATGATCACCTTTTCCCTGCTCTTAAATTCTGTGCTTTGAAAAAAAAAACAGTTGCCGTTGAGTCAATTCCAACTCAGGGCGACCCCATGTGTGTCAGAGTAGAACTGTGCTCCACAGGGTTTTCAATGGCTGGATTTTCAGACGTAGATCACCAGTGGACTCAAACTTCCAACCATGTGATTACCAGTGGAGCTTGTTAACTGCCTGCAACATGCAGGGATACCAATTCATATTTGTTGTTGTTGTTGTTGTCAGTTGCCATTGAGTCAAGTCCAACGCATGGTGAACCCAAGTGTTACAGAGTAGAACTGCTCCATAGGGTTTTCTTGGCTGTAATCTTAACAGAAGCAGATCGGCAGGCCTTTTCTTCCGAGGTCCCGTTGGACGGGTTAGAACAGTCAAGCTTTAGGTTAGCAGTCAAGTGCAAATCATATGCACCACCTAAGGGCTTTCCGTATTTAGGCTAACTTATATTCACGATTTCTATCAATAAACTGTTGGATTCAATTGAGTTCTAAGAGATTTCAGGGTGAAAGCTGGGGAAATCCAAGTATAACTGGAATTCTCTAAAAATGACTCGTTAACTTCAGAGTGGAAGATGACAAAGCCCCCAAGTTAAAGCAGCATCCCCTAGGACAATGCTTCTCAAACTTTAATGTGGATTCCAATCACCTGGGGACTTTGTAAAATGCAGATTCTGACTGAATGAGACTAGAATGGGTCCTCAAATTTTGCCCTCAACAAGCTCCCAAGTGATGCTGATACTGCCAGTCCAGGGACCACACTCTTGAGAAGGCAAGGCCCTATGAGTCTGTAATACCCTGAATATACTTAATTACTTCTATAGACATGAATTAAAAAAAAAAAATTTAGGACAATGAATAGAATTACCAGCTTTTATGGTTAAGATCGTGATAGCCACATGAAACTTTGAGTTGTTTAAAATTTTGCTTAAGAAAATTTCGTTGAAACAGTAAGTAACTATTTTGTTGAGGCAAAGATTTTGAGTTACTGAACACATCTGACAACAATACAAACAAAATTTCCAAAACTTAAGTGCTACTTTTCAAATCCAATACTACAATGGATAACAATTAATTTTATTTCAGGTGTTATTTTTTAAGAAATTACCTGTATACTTAATTTAGGAAATCAGTATCAGTGCAAATGATCACTGTCCATTGAAAAAAGAAAAAAGTTTTCACATTTTGTTTTTCAATATCTATTAAAGAGTAGTTAGTCTCTTATTGCATCTTTCTGAAAAAGTAAGGTTGGAGAATAATTTATACAACAAAGAGTCCCTAACTTATTGTGGTGGGTAGCCCCAATCAAACCTTAAGAAGAGGCCAGAGATTCACTGTTGTAGATGGAGAATACCTATGATTACCTATTTTATCAGGCCCTGAATGCACTTACGGAGTAAAACCAGGGGTTTATTTCTCATACCAGAGTCCTGACCTATCTTCATCCTTTCTCCATCTCCCAAACTCCAGCGTTCAAAATGGTGAGGATAAAGTAAAGAGGTGGGAAAGAAGGACAATTGGAAAAGAATGTCTTTCCCCATATATTGGAATGGTAGCCGCAGTATATCAATATCCAAGAACTCTCAGTCTTTTAAATCAAGACAAAAAGAGTACGTAGATACTTAGGTCAGAATTAGAGCTCTTGGGTGGTGAAAACAGTTAGCATGTGGCTGCTAACCGAAAGGCTGGTGGTTTGAGTCCAACCAGAGGCACCTCAGAAGAAATAAGGCCTGGTGATCTACTTCCAAAAATCAGTCACTGGAAACCCTACAAGAGCACAGTTCTACTCTGACACACGTGGGAGCCATGAGTCAGAACTGACTCAATGACAACTGGTTCTGGTTTAGGTCTGATTAGGACTACACTTCCTTCCCAAAGCATCTGCATCACAAGTGCCAGGATGCCTATATAAAATATAGCTACCTGGGTACTACCAAAGCCCTAATGAATCAGATTATCTGGGGCTTAGAAATCTGCATTTTAACATATTCTCCAAGTTTACACTACTGTATCAATGGTCTCCAGCTTATAAAACTTAAATAATCACTAAGGTTATTTAAATCCTTGTGCACTAGTGTATTATTTCCATCCATCTATGGTAAATCCATGGTAAATGAATAACACCACCATGTAGCTATGGTACCAAAACCAAACCCATTGCCATCGAGTCAATTCCAACTCATAGTGACCCTATAGGGCAGAGTACAACTGCCCCCCAGAGTTTCCAGGACTGTAATCTTTCAGAAGCTGACTGCCACATCTTTCTCCCACAGAGCGGCTAGTGGATTCGAACCACAGATCTTTTGGTTAGCAGCCAAGCACTTAACCACTCTGCCACCAGGGTTCCTGTAGTTAATTAAGTGTACAAATATTATATTTTTGATAGGGATCCCCATAACTAAAAATATGGGAGGCACTGTTCTACGCAAAGTTCATTTACCCAATTATTTCAAAACAAGAATCAGAATAAATTCACTATAAAATGAGTCATATTCTCATTGTTTCTGAAAACATAAAATCAATGTTTAACAGAGGGCTTTAAAAAAAATTATTTAGATTTCCAGAGTTCTCATGATAACCTGGGTCCTACAACAAAAAATACAAAATAAAGACACATATTAATCTTTTAAATGATCGATTTTCTATAAATAAAAACTAACGATGTGTTACAAAGAGCTACTTTTCAAAATACATTAAAAAAAAAAAAAGAACACTGCTGTCAAGTCAATTCTGACTCATAGCAACCCTATAGGACAGAGTAGAACTGCCCCATAGGGTTTCCAAGGAGCGCCTGGTGGATTCAAACTGCCGACCTTTTGGTTAGCAGCCGTAGCTCTTAACCACTATGCCACCGGGGTTTCCTCAAAATACACAATCATCCCTAACATGCATTTAAGTGACAATTTCACATAATTGGTTTTCTCCAGCACAAAGCTTGAGTAAAAATGTGTCCAACATAAGAAACTTACCTCCTCCTGCCTTGCCAAAAGGACTTTGTTGGTGAATAAAGACAATATCTTGTCAAGAATTTTAACTGATACAAATGGCAAAAATACAGGGTTTCAAAATCCTAGAATCAAACTATATATTCCATAATATCAGAAAATCAAAAATACCTTTTAATTTTTTAACTAAAAAGTCAATTTGGCAGCTTATATGGATAACGGTCTATATTGTACAATGTTAATGAATTAAAGCTTAAAAGTGCAGTCCTCATATAATATTTTTCAAGTACTAATATACTAGAAGTTCTGTTATTCTGCACTGAAGGAAAAGTAATAGATCTGAATGTCTTATAATGAGCTAATTACAGATACAGATGTTTATATATATATTTTATTCTGTGGCTTCACAGAAAAAAATGATTAATACATTCAATGTAATTTGCAAGGCAGCCACAGTCTTTAGTGCTTTCTATCTTCTTTTTAGTTACTTTGCTGTAATTAAAAAAAAAAAAAAAAACAATAAATCCACCGGTCACAAGCAAAAATTTCATTAACAAGTATTGCTTTTAATTAACATACAAAGCTAGACAACTATTTGAGCAAATATAAGTTAAAAATGTTTCCAAAGTAAATACTTGTTTTCTAGTAAGTGTTTAATGTATTAAATGCTATGACAATTAGATTTCTAAAAGTTTACATACTAGTCTAGATGTTTTGGTACAAAAGACGATGAAAAAAGTTTAAATTGTAAAAAAATATCATTGAGATGAGCTTTATTACTAATGCTTAATCTTGATTTAGTGTTTTGGTCTTAAATAGTAACAGGTAAAAAAAAATGTCTATCATAAATAATTATTCAGTTACAGTGAAAACAAAACCAAGAAAAAAAACTTCAGTTTATATGTTAAGCCTCTTTGCCCCCGGTATACGAAAGCTGTTTTTTCAAAGATCACCCTAAAAAGAGTGTTTGTTACCAATGATTAATATTTTGTAATTCTAGTATCTATTATGATATTAAAAGTTCCTTCTGAATGATACACACAAGTATTTCCTAGGCAGCATATCTTTTTCCTTTTGTTTTTTTTTAAGAAAGAACCATATAGCATATTAAAAAGTAACCATCAAATGGCAATGTATTTTCTTAACAATCATTACATGGGCAATAACTATATTTTTAAAGACTAAACATGAAGGTATTCAGTTTCTCACTGGAGAAGTATTTCATAAACCAACTATCAATTATTTTAGAAAGAACTTTGGAAAACTGTGGATAAATATCCGTGCTGAGACAAAAGGTATAAATATTCTATTTGAAGTTTCAAATGCATCAATAATTTATTCATTTTTGAAAGGTTGTTAGGGAGAGAGGAACCAACCAGTAATATCCAACCATCAATTTTCACTTCCCAGTTAGTCTTCTACTGAAAAGCCAAGGTTCCAGAAGAAGTCTTTTGCCCACCAGTGTAATTTAGATCCTCTTAAGCAGATCAAATATTACATACCTTACTGCTTGTGAGTAAAAAAGGTACTGAAGATGACTGAATGATTAGAGTTAAGTAAAACTCTGGGAGAAAATCTTTCTGTACTATAGTCTACATATTCTTAATTTCTTTATAAATTGTATAAAACGTATTTACCTTTTTTGAATGCCATTATTATAAACTATTGATTTTTCAAGGAAAAACAGACATTTTTCCTTCTCCTTCCTCACTGCCATCTGTCATTTCTGATGCCAATGTGTTTGCCCACAAAACCCCTAAATTTTGGTTTTAAATTGCAAGTTGAGAAATCTCATAATTTAGGTATAATTTTTAAATGCTGGTTAAATGCCAGCAGCCTGTTACATCACAGCCTAAAGATTACTACAGGAGGTGAAGAAAAGAAAAGCAGTGTTTATTTATTGACTGCCCAGACCCTTTAAAGACATTATTTTATTTAATTCTCTTGATAACCCTTATGAGGTGGGCATCACCAACCCCAATGGTTTAGTGACTTCAGTGAGATTTAAAAAAAAAAACCCGTAGCGATCGAGTTGATTCTGACCTGTAGCGACCCTACAGGACAGAGTACAACTGCCCCAAGGGTTTCCAAGGAGCGGCTGGTAAATTTGAATAGCCAACCTTTTGGTTAGCAACCATAGCTCTGAACCATTCCACCACCAGGGCTCACAGCCTAGTTAAGTGGTACTGCCAGGGATAACAATTCATGCTTTCCAGTACCATGTGCCAGTCTTGTTAACAGTGATTTCAGTAGCTCAGGGACCATCTAGGCAGTTTTCCAAATGGCTGAAGTTGCTCCAAGTCTGACCTTCGGATAAAGCTTCTCCTGCACTTTCATTTAGAATTTAGTATCTTTCCACAATTAACACTGGAAGAAAAACTGAATTCTCTAGGCACACACATGTATGCACACAAATTACACATACCTGTTATCTGACCTTGAAGTTTTAAAGTAAATAGCTAGTGAAGAGTTTTACATGCTAAACCCAGTTTTTATGAAGGTATATGTATTTATATGCCATTCTAGCCGATCCCAAGTAAATAAAACAACTGGGTTTCATTACAAATTCCAGGGAGCTCAGAATAATACATTTTTAGAATAATACATTTTTATAAGGCACAAGAGAATATGATTACTTTAGCCATTCCATGAATACTTTATGGATTCCATAAATTGATAAAAGAAAAGTCTAGGAAATCAATTACCCAAGGAGTAAACAATACTGATTTACTTAAACTCTAAGTTACTATCCTGGTCAGGACACATAAAAATGAATATTCTAATTTTACCCTTTGCTTTTAAAATAACTCTATAAATTATAATGATTGGAATTACCCTCCCTTAAGTGTCTTCTATCATCCTCTGCAAAAGAGATATTTTATTTCTTTTTTTAAAAACCTTGTTTTTGGGGCCACACAACATAAATTCTAAGAAAAATGCCAAACAAAAAGAATTGTGGTTTAAAAAAATTTTTTTTTAATAATAAGATGAAAGATTGGATTTACTAAAGATAACAAATCTTTATTAAAAGCTCAGAACTCATTTTTATATCTGCAATTAATCATCAATTTAATTTTTCTTAATCATGTAACCAGTATGTAAAATACAAATTCAAATCCCAAACAACTATTCTTACATGAATTTGGGGCATTTATAAATTTTACATAAAATATATACCAATTTGGAACAAAGCACTTCATTGAAAATACGGCAGTTACCTAAAATAAAATAGAAGCTAGGAACCATAAACTAGGCACTATTAAGACCTTCTTTTCACATGCAAAAGGGGAAAGCAGGAGGATCCACACCCCTCCACACACACAGAAAAGCCTCTAAACCAAAAAAAAACCCGTTGCTGTAGAGTCAATTCTTACTCACACTGACCCTATACGACAGAGTAGAACTGCCCCATAGGATTTCCAAGGAGCTTGGTGGATTCGAATTTGCTGACCTTTTGGTTAGCAGCGGAGCTCTTAATCACTGCACCACCAGGGCTCCCAAAAGCCTCTAATAACTGAAAATTATCTAAATACTGTAGAAGCAAGCTTTTTGCTCCTATTTTGCAACCTCCTCTGAACACGTCACATCCTTCTTCTAAAAAAGTTTTTCTGAAATATATATGGCGAGGTCAAAATACATACGTGTGTGTGCGTGTATATATGTATATATATACACATATATATATACACACACACATATTAGGTGGTTTAAGAAAAGGCAATAATTGCAAGTAAAAACATTGAGATACCTGATTGAAAGTGGAAAAGAATTTATTTAACTTTTGCCATGTCAGGACAACAAAGCAGCCCTTTTATGTGACCACTCATTAAAAGGGCATTATAAAACATTAACATAATGTAGTAGCCCATGCTCTCTTTCAGGCATTTTGAAAGGGCATCTCAGACTCACAATATCTCGTACTGAGTGTGCAAGAAAACAGAGCTACAAAATGACTAGTAAGGCAAGATTCTAATGTTTCCCTTTTTATTTGAACATGTTCTGGAGATATTCTGAATTTAACATTCATAGATATGCAGTATATAACTGTTAAGGTATCAGCAAACTGTCAGCTATCTTGAGTTTAATAGCTACTATCAAGCAACTGGTTTCTAACGCAAACAACATAGTTTGATAGTATACGTAAAAGAAGGTGGCCTGAATTTTGCCCTCAAATGCACAAAAAGAATTTTCTATACACCACCTCAAAGTAGTCTTTGGCCTTGCTGAATAATTATAGAGTTGTTACTTTATTGTGAAGCAAAATAAGCCTTCAAGTGTCCCTTACTTGATCTTAGAAGGTCAAATTCTCTGTCCAAGAGTTCCTCTTCTGTTAACTTGGAGAAATTATCCTCTCCAAAAGGATTCCACCCTGACATATCAGGTGGGTTACTGATGTTCTTCTGATTTGTAAAATTTGTAACTGCCTCTTTATCAGCAACTGACCTACAGTAATAATCAAGAGAAAAAAAAAGTTAGAATCAAGAAACATTAGTGCTCTAGTTCAGACTTCATAAATGCTAAGAAAACCAGATCTTTTCGTACAGTGATGATGGCAGATAACAGCACTGGATTTAGAAAGAGACTACACCTGGGATTTGAATCCCAGCACCTCCACAAGGTCACTAGCTGTATACCTTGGGCAAGTTTCCTAACCTCTCTATGCCTCAGTTTCCTCATCTGTAAAACAAGAATAACAGTATCTACACCTCATTGAGTTTGAGGCAAACGCAATGGCGGCTAACAACAAAAACCTCATAGAGTTACTGAGACAATTAAATGAATGAGTACATGTAAAGCATAAAAAGAACAGCTTCTGGTACAAAATAAGCACTCAGTACATATTAGCTATTATTACCATAGTGAACAAGCCAAAATCACTATTCAGTAAGGTGATTTTATATACTACTTATGTGGAGGCACCACAATAAGATTCACTTTTTATAAAGCCATTACCTTTATATAGCTACAAACAAAAAGATGAACTGCTAGGATTGCTTTATGAATTACCTAAAGCTGGGTAAGGGTTATTTTGTATATACCAAACTCTTCTTGGCACTTAAAGCACCTACAGTCTGTAGCCTAGGACCACTGATTCTATGTAAGTTACCTTATAGGCCTCTTGGTTTTTAAGAGAAGATGAGAGTCTAAAGGGGCTACTTAATTCCAAAGTCCTTGGGAACTCTTCTCTCAACCCAGTCTGGAAAGACAGTTCAGCAATGAGGTGATGTAACAAAGCTGTCACTGGCTTTAATAATTCAGATCCAAATCCTCTAACATGGTAATGGAGGGAGAATCTCTATGTGCAAAGAGGTAGCTCGATTTTGCAAGCCTTGACTGATCCCATTAAATTTACCTCCCCCTAGGAGCTCACTGGCATTGCCACTACACAGGTCTTAAAAGGGAAGAGGGGGCAAAAGTTGTCCATTTAATCACCTAGTCCAAGCCACTCAGTACAGTTAAGTGAAGAATGCAATTTTTAAGCACTCATTGAAGGCTAGACTATAAGAGAGGAAAATAAACATAGTAGTTGACCTACAAGCAGATAGTCTTGCTTAGTAAATATAACTCAGGTATCTTAACAATAAATGTAATTCAGTTTAGAATCCACTCCAGGGATTCATTAACAGCCAAGGTCTAAGTCTGCCTCAATGTGACAGAGTCCCATCTTTAATTCCAAAAGTACTTTTCAAATACTTTCAGAGGCCTTGAAACACAAATCAGATAGGATAAAACTCAAAGAAAGTTGGGTGAATCCCCTTCTGCCTGTCAATGATCCTTTCAGAACTTTCTGACTCCCTATCTAAATCACCCTCTTCCCATTCCTAGGATGAATTTATGTGTTCTTCTTGGAAGACTATATATGGGCTATTATCTTAACCTATAGTCTAAACAGGTTTTAAAATACAGGAAGTCCCCAGGTTATGAATGTCCAAACTTAGGGACAACTTATGTAAATTTGGTCTCACTTTGAAAAGACTGAACCAACCCCTACGGGCAACAGATTCTGCATCACAATCACCTTCACTTGCTGCATGTGCAGCTTTTAAATCATTGAAACGATTTCAAGTCTTTTCTTGCACTAAATGCGAAATAAAAACCATATGCACCTGTGCTGACTTAGCCTACAAATTTTGACTTAAAGACCTAAAGACACAGTTAGCAACAGATCTCATTTATAACCCGGGGACTGCCAGCACATCTACAAGTTCTTTGACACTCCTTCCTTCAAAAGGTGGAACCTAATTCCCCTCCCCTTGAATGTGGATTAGATCTAGTGTCTCACCACTAACACATAGAATATGGCAGAAGTGCCAGTGCATAACTTCTGAGACTAGGTCATAAAAGTACTGCAGCATCCTCCTTGCTCTCTCACTCCTGGATCACTTTGCTAGAGAAAACCAGAATAAATTATTTGTAAAAACAGTTTTTGGCCTTACTAAAGAATAGTCTTTTGGAGAGATCCAGGTGGCAATGAACTGAGGCCTTCTGCCCAAAGCCATGTGAGTGAGCCATCTTGGGAACAGATTCTCTAGCATCAGTTAACCTTTCAGAGGACTACAGCCCTAGCCAACATCTTAACTACAACCTCATAAACCCAATGCCAAGTCGATTCTGACTCACAGCGACCCTAAAGGACAGGGTAGAACTGCCTCATAGGGTTTCCAAGGAGCGCCTGGTGGATTTGAACTGCTGAAAACCTCATAAGAGACTCCCAAAACACAACTATCCAGCCAAATAACTTCTAAATTCCTGATCCATAGAAACTGTAAGAACATTTACTGTTGTTATAAACCACTAAGTTTTGTGGCAGTTTATTATGTAGCAAAAAAATAAAAATAAAAGACTAATAAGACAGGGTAATCTTAAGAAATAAGAAATCAGATAATGTATGTGTAGAGGATATATGAAGCCCTGGTGGCTCAGTGGTGATTAACATTCATTTCATAAACAACTATTCATTTAGTGCCTACTATGTACTAGATGGAGCCCTGGTGGTGCAGTGCTTAAGAACTTGGCTACTAAGCAAAAGGTTGGCAGTTCGAATCCACCAGCCACTCCTTGGAAACCCTATGAGGCAGTTCTACTCTGTCTTATAGGGTCGCTATGAGTCGGATCGACTCGATGGCAACAGGTTTGGTTTTGGGCAAAGGATATTTATTTTAACTATCACTGGAATACAACACAGTAGTATTCTCCAATACTCATACTAGAAATACATGAATACAGTGAAAGAATAGAAATTTTAGAAGATTACATGGAAAAGAAAAGGAAATAACTAATTAATCAAGATAGTGACTTTTTCCATCTGTATAAGGAACTAGTTAGTTTTTATCTTCTTTTACTCAAATATCCCTTAGACTTAGAGCCAAACCTTTAGCCCCAATTCTCATCCTACACTGACTCAGGCACCAACAGGAACATTTACTTACAGTGATCTTTTTAAACCGTTATAGAAGATGTTACACTTAATGTATAATTCTTGATAAAGACTAATATTAAATAACTGTATTAGTGAAGTAGCATTGAGGCACTGACACTGCAGCAGTGGTCCTGTGGGGACTTCTGTGTTCCTGACCTCTAGTGGTCAAACGTGTAATTGTTTCCACCCACCTGACCACCCTTTCCTGCTTAATCCTGCATAATTTTTTTTACAGGAGTGGTGTAAAACAAGTCTTTATACACTTTCACAGATAATCAATCCATTATTTCCCAAAGTGGTGTATGCAAGATTATTTTTATTTTAATAGTTACACAGAAATTAGAAGAAAAAAAATACTTAACATATCACACCCATGATATCATGAATAGTAACGCTAAAGATGACGTTAAAATAGGCAGTGCTGTGGTAATTTACAGGAGATACAGGTGTCATCACCTTGCATGCCCATGTGTGCCTCAATTCTTTGGAAACACATCCTCCTTTATAATTAATCAGAAGTTTAGACAGTACATATTCTATGGTGCATTAGTATCAATTCTCTACCATAGGATTTCCAATTCATCAGTCCATTCTCATCAGTGACACTCCACTTCCACAAGTTGATAATTTTTTAAAATACAAAGCATACATAAGTACAGATGCTATATCTGAGAAGACAATTTAATATCTCTTACACTTTCCAACTATATACACCAAATGGAATTGATATCCTTGATGCTAGTTAACATCAAACATAAAAAAAAAATCATCTAATTAATATAAGAGCCTCATCAGTATCTTTAACTAAAGAATATTGAGCAGAATATCCTATTTTTAATGATGAATAAAACTATTTCATTCTTATCACTGGGGGCTTATTTTTAGGCATGTCTTTTTTGGTAAATTTATCAGATTACTACTTGTATTTCACAGTTTATATTTTAGCGGTTTTAATTTTTTTTTATTTATAACATTATTCATTTTAATTTTATTATTTAGAATAATGCTGTTAATTTATTCAAGACAAAAAAATCTACGAAGAAAAAAGTGTCATGAGGGTAAAGCAACAAATTGAGACTACAGTAGGCAAATGACAAGTGTCTGGCAATTACTAATCTGAGCCTTTAAAGCACCCTTTGATCATATGCCCCACTCTCCACTTAAGACACACTTGTCTTAATTCATGCACCTCAGTTTTTACACCCCCTCTCCCTCCCTTCCTGCCACCCTCTCATAGACACACATATACATACACATACACATACACACACACATACACACACACACACACACACACACGGTTGGAAGATGTTCTATAGCAAACTGCATATTCTGACCCTCTCTTAAGATGCAGAGTGCCAAAGGTTAGACAGACCCATAAAACAAACAATAATACACATAGCTCAACCATGTACATGATATTAAATGGGAACACCAGCCCAGGGGCAAGGATGAGAAGGCAAGAGGGACAGGAAAGCTGGACAAATGGAAATGGGGAACCCTAGGTTGAGAAGAGGAGAGTGATGACACATCACAGAGTTGGCAACAAGTATCACAAAACATTAGGTGTATTAATTGTTTATAATGAGAAACTAATTTGCTCTGTAAACCTTCATCGAAAGCACAATTAAAAAAAAAAAATGTAGAGTATACATCAGCATATTATAGGATCTAAGAGGTGTTCCATTAATGAAACATGTTTATTTTAGTTCAACATGTTCCAAACTTCTTTGACCAAGAAATCATTTATTCTATTAACCTTCATGAATTCTAGTGTTTTGAGAAAGAATTTGAGATACCAGAAGTACGCTACTGAAGTTGTTGTTTCTCAAGCCCAGCTCCTAGCTAAAGCCTCTAAACTCCTTTATCCAGTTAATGCTTCAAATCCTGAAATTCTTTAGTGTTCTAGTAACCAAAATGCCAATGGCTATTTCCTCTTACGTATCTGTAAACATTAATAAGTATTTATAATGATCAACCTATTTTTAATTAGAAGATTTCTAATTAGAAGATCCTGAATCACTCACCATATCAAATCTAAGTTTGTGAAAATCTGTATCCCAGTTCTTTAATTTATAGTAATGGTTTCAATATGAATTATCCAGGAAAAATAACTCTACTAGCCAATGCATCTGAATAACCAGAATATATGATTTCCCAACTATTCTATGGTAACATTAAATTTGCTGTCCAAATGATACATTAAAATATTCCATACCTGTTTGAAATGGACTATATAAGATTACACAACCTTTATGAATAATGTCAAATTAATTGAAAGTAATTATATATTAGTAGGAAAAGTTAAATTAACTTGCTTAAGAGAATTTTTTTTTAAACTAGTGAAGTAGCTTGTTAAGTTTTGCTTCTATTTAAATTACAAAGAATGCCTTAACATACAAGCCAATAACTTCCTTAGCCCTAAATACTGCTGGATGTTGCTAAGCCGTATCTGCAAAGAGCAGTTAGCAGAATTAACTGATGGGAACCGAAGAAAAGGATGGAGATGCACAGGGACCAGAAGGAACAATTAAGAGGTAAAAAGAGTGGGTTCTACGGAAAGATGGACTCTTTAAACCAATACAGGAGCCACTCAGTGAGTCCACTCCGTGATTCACTTCCACAATAATTTCCTCCGCATTCATAGGAAAAATACTTGCCTATTGGCACTATAAGAGGACTCCATAATAGTTCCAACCTGAGCTGGAAGTGATGAAGTGTAGGATACCAAGGCTGGTGAGAACTCTTGAGGGGAGGTAAGATACTCTGGGGATGCTTGTTGTTGTGACTGCTGATGTTGACCCAGCATCTGCTGCTGCAGGAAAGCCTGCTGATACTGGTGCATCTGAAACAAGAAATGCCATTATATGAGACAATGCTCAAAGTCACTACAGCACTGTCGGCACCTGAAAACAATTTCTATCTGAAGGAGCAGCTCTGCTACCAGAAAAGTTCAGCAAGATGAAATGACTCTATTTAAGAAGTTGTGAAGCTAGGCTAATTTGGCGGAATTAAAAAATCCTCATTTAAATACTTTAAGAAAAAGACAATAGAGTGGTTTAAAATCACTAGATAGTGGTAACTGTAAAAAAAAAAAAAATATGTTCAAACTATTCTCTGAAGCAACTGCAATTTTCCTTTGGGTTTCTTTTTTTTTCCACTCAACAGATGTTTGCTGAATGAAAGATGCATATGACAAAAGATCATGAGTAGCAGATAATATCTATTATGAGTCAGTCAGTTATAATGTGCCAAATTCAGGTTGTGTAGTTCAAATTTAAAGATGCTTGAAGATATATGACTGACTTTCATAAAATGTATCAATTAACGAACTTGCATTAACTATAAAGGATTTAGAATTATTAAATCATGAATAGTACCATACATACTGTTAATTCAAACACTGCAATATATATTTACAGACAAATCTCGCAAAATTATTATCACTTACCATTGCAGGGTACTGTGATGCAGAAGGTTGCTGCTGATACATCGACTGCATTAAAAACTGTTGTTGATGAAGTATCTGCTGCTGCTGCGCTGCAAGCTGATACAATGGCAAAAATAAACAAATCCATCAATATCTCTCATATCTTTTTTGTGTTAGTCTTTTTTTTTTTTTTTATTGATCTTCCCATAACAATGACTTGGGAAATCTGTAGTCCAAACACCAATGTAAAATAACTATAGTCAGTAAGTGATCATAACATAATTTTGAAACCATTTCCAATAAGCATTTATCAATGAAACATGGAAAGAGATTCAACTACAGTTGTTTCTGGCACAGTTTAAGGATGTTTGGGAGAAACCTCAGCTAATTCACTGCCCTTTCCTAGTTACTAAAGATCCCTGAAGTGACTTGTGTCCAGTACAATACATCCCCACTCTCCCATATCTTCCCTTCATTGACGTCTTGCAGACTTACCATGGCACCACCTACTTACTACCCTCCACTCTGGATCTATGAGTCAAGATCAGAGGAGGGGGATACCTGTGAGAAGTATCATGCATATAATTGGCTTGAAAATATTACAGGAAATGATAAAAGGATAGGTAACAATGGTTACATTTAAAATATAAATAGTTTAGTGAAACTAAAAATTCACAAGTTCTAATGAGGCAAAGGACAGAACAGAACTTAAGCTCATTCTTCTCTATGTCCTCACAGTTCTAGTTCTCCTCCACCAACTGAAAACCGAAAATAAAAACAAAAACTCACAACAATGCTACTTCTTTTCTGAAAAGCCCAGTAACACCCTTCCATCTAACATTATTAGTCTATATAACTGAACTCAAAATGCAACCTCAAACAGATAATTCATCACAAACTGCGGTGCTCATTCATGAAAGCTGAATGACCAGATGAACATTCTTTGCATCAAAAAGCCATGATGCAATCCACTTCAAAAGAGCATTCTTAAGCACATCACAAATGTGAATTAGATACATATTCTTTAAAAAATCACTTAGGAAATTGGGCAAAATGTTTACCTGAATCTAGAGTTCAAGGTATCCATGATACAAAAAAGAATTCACTGATATTCAATTGTTGCATTAATCACACAACACTACTTTCCATATATAAAGTAACAAAAGAACTACCTGCTGCATATAGGCATCCTGAAGTAGTTGATGCTGCTGTTGCTGCTGGTGGGAATGAGGAGGCTGTAAATGAAGTTGCTGCAATCTCCAATCTCCCTGTTGTAGTTGCTGAAGTACTCTATGCTGCTGTGGAGGCTGCTGAGGGGGCCCCTGACCCAATAAAATTTCTGGGCCATTTCCAGGTCTCAGTGCTCCTAAAATAGGTTTCCAAAAACTTATATTAATATACTCATGATTTCAATACGACAGCCAGATTTTGAAACACTCATTTGAATGATCATTTAACCAAAACATTTATATCTCTATTCTATAATACAGAAACTTCCATATGCATGTACTTGAAAGAGATATACCCAAATGGAAGAAGTAACTTAATTATAAGTACTCATAATACTTAGGGGAGCTCTGGTGATGCTGTGGTTACGAGCCTGGCTGCTAACTAAAAGATCAGCAGTTTGAATCCACCAGCTGCTCCCTGGAAACCCTATGAGGCAGTTCTACTCTGTCCTATAGGGTTGCTATGGGTCAGAATCGACTCATCGGCAACGGGTATTTTTTGAGAAGCCCTCGTGGTGCAGTGATTAAGAGCTCAGCTGCTAACCAAAAGGCTGGCAGTTCGAACCTATCAGTCGCTCCTTGGAACCCTATGGGGCAGTTCTACTCTACCCTAGAGGGTCGCTATGAGTTGGAATTGACTCGATGGCAACAGGTTTGGTTTGCTTGCTTTTTTTTTTTTTTTAAATAATACTTAGGAGTCCCTGAGTGGTGCAGACAGTTAATGCACTTAGCTGCTAACCAAAATGTTGGAGGTTCAAGTCTACCCAGAGGCATCTTGGAAGAAAGGCCTGGTGATCTACTTCTGAAAAATCAGTAACTGAAAACCCTATGGAGCACAATTTTATTCTGACACATGCAGGAGTTTTTTTTTTTTTTTGGTTGTTTTTTAGAATACTTAATTTGTCAACTACAACTCTGAACAGCTCAAAATTTTAGAAACACTTCACACTTCATCTCTCCATGAACATACCGGCCATGTGAATTTGTTCACATTTCTTACTATATCATGCACTTTCATGAGTCCATCTCTGCTGATCTGATTCTCTTAGCCTAGAATGCCATTTTCAACCTACTGAAATTTTTCTTATCCTTTTAATTTTAACTCAAATCTCTCCTTCTTTTTCCTTCACCTAACACTTCTACCAGATTTATTACACTACATTCTGCCTTGCACATATGTGATTGTTTATATGGCTATTTTCCAGTTAGGGACCCTAAGGGATAGAGCAATGAATGATGTATTCATCTGTTAGAGCCCCAAAGAATTTTTTACATAAATGATGCTCAATAAACGCTTACTACAGTAAATCTACTAACATGGTCTCCTGGATAGATATTCATAAGCTGCTTAAATTTTACCCTAGGAAAATCCAATGAAGGAACTTCTGAAATTAACTAAAATAAAACTAAGCTACATACAATATCAAAATAGGAATGTAATACACTATAACTTCTATATTCTCATCCAATGACTTACCCTAAGTTCAACTGCAAATGTATGATCCTAAGGGTGAAAAAGAGGAGGAGAGTGCAAGGAAGCAGAGAAGGGCTTTTTTCCATCAGTGTTAATATAGTCAACACCCCCCCAAGACTTAACTCCAACACCTCTATGAAAATAGTTGTCTAACGTTCATTTTCTCTCCTAATTATAAGAAACACATGTTTATTTTAATTTTTCTTGAAAATACCACAAAGAAAAAAAAATCAAAATTCTATACAAACACAATCACATGAACGAGCCGTTTAAGCATACTTCTTTCCACTTGGGAAAGCAGTAAAAAGTTAAGCTCCTCAGAGATACACTCATCACTTCAGGCAAACTGCAAATCTAAATGCAGCAGGCAAGCAAACAAACAAAAACATTGAAGTATTAGAACTTAAAAAAAAAAAACTTTCCTTTGCAATACAGTATAAAATCCAGAAGCTATAAAAGAAAAATGACACACTACCTCTTACAATCTTTTAACTACTGTATCCCACTAGATACCCATAAATACGCTTATAATCTAAATGACAAACGGGGAGAGAAAATTTACAATATATTTAGAAAAGAGCTAATATTCATAAAAATAAACCTTCAGAGCAATAAAAAATAAATAAAAGACAAACGATCTAATAGGAAAACTGAAATAGATAATTCATGGAAGAAAAATAAATGGCCAGTAAACACAAGAAACAGTAGTATTAACCTAAAAATAAAAATATTATTCAACTAACAATAGGAAAACATTTTTAAAAACCAATAATATCTAGTGTTAGCAAGGATAGGAATGAAAGGACAGTCACACTTGATTTTTGTGGGAATTTGTGAAGTCGTTCTGGATGGCAATTTGGCAGCTTATCTGGTGAATTTCAAATCAGTACACTTCTTAATATCTTCCTCAGAGAAATGCTCCAACATGTGAATCAAGAGTCTGTTATAAGGATGTTAATAATAGTAAATACTGGAAATAACCTAACTGGCCACCAAAAGAGAAGTGGTTACGTAAGCTATACTATATCCATAATATGGAACAAAAATTACATGGTAGAACTGTATGCACTATCGTAGATAAGAAAATAAAAAAGGGCTGGAAGGACGCACACTAAACTGCTGCCAGTTAACTCTGGGAAAAAAGGACACTTTTACAATTTTCTCTGAATACTTCTATATTGTCTGAATATTCTAAAAGAATAAATTAATATGTTACTTTTGGTATAATTTTTAATGAGAAAAGATACGTTAAAAGATGCACATATGGGGGGGTATTATTTTTCCATCTTGAGCTGGAAGCATATGAGAAAGAGAAAAGCTGCCCCTGACACTGGAAGCTGGCCTGGAACCCACAGCTAGATCCTGGTGTTCTCCTATTTGAACATATACAATTTCAGGAAACATCAACATCAGACAAGCCACTCTGTGACTGCGATGGATCAAGAAAAACAAGTCCACTCCATAATCATGTCTGAGCACCGACAACATCATGAACATTGCCTAACCACATCCTCCTGTCTTGGCTAACAGGAGTGACTGCTGCTTCTTCACCAATTACAGCTTTAGCCTCCTCTCCTTCTAGATAAGATTTATTAAGATATCCAACCATAGCACAACAACATCATGATAAATGGAGGAAAGACTGAGGTTGTCAAGGATTTCACTCTACTTGGATCCACAATCAATGCCTATGGAAGCAGCAGTCAAGAAATCAAATGATGCACTGCAATGGACAAATCTACTACAAAAGACCCTAAAGTGTTAAAAAGCAAAGATGTCACCTTGAAGACTAAGGTGCACCAGACCCGAGCCATGGTGTTTTCAATCACCTCATATGCGTGTGAAAGCTGGATGATGAATAAGGAAGACCAAAGAAGAACTGACGCCTTTGAATTATGGTGCTGGTGAAGAATACTGAATATACCACGGACTGCCAGAAGAATGAACAAATCTGTCTTGAAAGAAGTACAGTCAGAATGCTCCTTAGAAGTGAGGATAGTGAGACTTTTTCTCACATACTTTGGACATGTTATCAGAAGGGATCAGTCCCTAGAGAAGGACATCATGCTTGATAAAGTACAGGGTCAATGAAAAAGAGGAAGACACTCTTAACAAGATGGATTGACACTGTGGCTGCAACAATGAGCTCAAGCATAAAAACGATTGTGAGGATGGCGCAGGACCGGGCAGTGTTTTGCTCTGTTGTACACAGCGTCACTATGAGTCGGAACTGACCTGATGGCACCTAACAACAACAATCATAGCATACTCCCATTTCCTAACAGCATCCAATCCAGAGCAAAGCTCCACTTTCTAAAACTTTCTCAAGCATCTGATGTAAGTCCAAATCTTTAACAAGTCTTTTCAAACATCATCTTACCGAGATGCCCCACAGTTCCTCACAGTGAAAGAGTAATAAACTCAACTTATTCAAACTGCAGGTATGTTCCTAGTGCTCTCTGGCAGGAGGACATTGACACATGACAGATAAACTGATACAATCTCCAATCCAAAAAGGTAGAAAAAAAGAGAAACTAATACTAAATACTTATTATGAGACAGAATTATCCTAGATACCACACATCTTTTTATTTACTCCTCATAACAGGAAAAGTAGTCGTTATTCCCATTTTACAGAAGACAGCACTGAGACCAAGAAGTGGTAAAACTAAGGGAAGGACAACACACAATACAGGGGAAGTCAGCACAATCGGACCAAAGCAAAAGCTAAGAAGTTTCCCTGAACACATCCAAACATTTTCAGGGACAGAGTGGCTGGGGCTGGGGGCCTGAGGACCACAGTTTCGGTGGACAGCTAGGTCAATTGGCATAATAAAGTTTATTAAAAAAATGTTCTACATCCCACTTTGGCGAGTGGCGTCTGGGGTCTTAAAAGCTTGCAAGCAGCCATCTAAGATACATCAATTGGTCCCATCCCATTTGGAGCAAAGGAGAATGAAGAAAACTAAAGACACAAGGTAAATACTAGCCCGAAGGACTAAGGGACCACAAGAACCAGAGACTCCACCAGCCTGAGACCAGAAGAACTAGATGGTGCCCAGCTACCACCAATAACCACCCTGGCAGGGAACACAACAGAGTCCCAGACAGAGCAGATGAAAAATGTAGAACAGAACTCAAATTCAAGTAAAAAGACCAGCCTTAATGGTCTGACAGAGACTGGCAGAACCCCCAAATGCACTGCCAGCCCAGAACTGAAACCAATCCCGAAGCCCACTCTTCAGACAAAGATTAGACAGGACTGTAAAACAAAAAATAATACACGTGAGGAATACGCTTCTTAGTTCAATCAGATATACAAGACCAAATGGGCAGCTACTGTCCAAACGCAAGATGACAAGGCAGGAAGGGACAGGAACTGGTCGAACGGACACAGGGAACCCAGGGTAGAAATGGGGAGTGTGTTGTCACATTGTAGGGACTGCAACTAATGTCACAAAACAGTATGTGTATAAATTTTTGTCTGAGAAATTAACTTGAGCTGTAAACTTTCACCTAAAGCACAATAAAGAAAAAAAAATTAAACTTGCAAAAAAGAAGTGGCAAAACTAGGAATTAAACACAAATGACTTCGAATCCATATTTTCCTTTTTCCATGGACTACTCCTCTAGTTGGGGTACGTACTTGATTACCCCAGGGCTATGTAGCAACATGGCAGATAATATAAAAATAAACACCATCTTCCCCAAGCACATACATTATTTAATAATAATGTTGTTATCTGCCAAGAAGTCGTCCAACTCATACACAAAGGAACAAAACATTGCTCGGTCCTGTGCCATCCCCATAATCAGCTGCAGATCACACCCTTGCGATCTATAGGGTTTTCACTGGCAGATTTTCAGAAGTACATTGCCAGGCTTTTCTTCGTAGTCCATCTAGTCTGGAAGCTCTGCTGAAACCATCATAGCAACACACAATCTTCCACTGACAGATGGGTAGTGGCTGTGCTTGAGGTACACTGGCCAGGAATCAAACTCAGCTCTCCCACATGGAAGGTGAGAATTCTACCACTGAACCACGAACGCCTCATACAAAATAGCTGATATATCTTAAGGGTGTGTTATGTACAAGATGCTACATTAAGTATTCATTTAATCCTTACAACAATCCTTTAAAATAGGTACTAATATTTTATAAAATATATTACTAAAAAATGAGAGCAATAGGACTGAAACCCAGGTCTATGAGATTCAAAGTGTGGGCTCTTAACCATCAGAGTATCCTAAAACATTTTTATTAAAAACATTTTAATATTAAAACAAAACAGATATATTATGAAATAAGGTGCAAAACAGGGTTTCTTTGAGGTGAGCCTTCAGGTTATACCCGCAGACCCTTGAGAGAACAAGTTTACCTTCTAAATATTAGAGGTAGTTCCTTAGGTGAATTTTTTTTTTTTTTAAAGTACCACACTATACCATAATATGCAGGAGATATTTTAGATGAGAAAAACAAGTTTCTCAAAATTAGGTGACATCTATGTTGTAATAGTCACATGGTTCACTTTGTCAAGGCTCTAGCCTCACTGCAAAGACATGTAACTCTGTAAGGCTAGAATTTCAACTTCCTCCTTTCCAATGCAACATAGAATTTTATATACCCTTGAACTTTATTACCAACCTCAAAACCCACTAGCTGGTGACTCTGCGAACAAGAGTATGTATTTACAGGATCAAAGTAAATTGTGAGCTTTTTGTAGCATACTTCTTATTACCAGTAACTTCCCTTTGCCTACAACTTTAGGAAAATTGTTGAGGGTAACAGACATCAGTAGAAGTTTCTTAAAGCACTATGTTATCTGCTTCAAAATATTAAATTAAGTTTGTCAGTTTTTTATACCCTTAGGAAATTTAACCATAAAAGATTTTATTTAAGTTACCAATAAAGAGGAGCGGACTGGCAGGACTATATTACCTTTTGGTCTGTGGTTACCAAATTCACCCGGAGCAGGAACTTTAACAGGTGTTGCTGAGCTTTGAATGGTCAGTACACTGGGAGTGGTAGTAGTAGAGTTGGCCTTTGGTCTTTGTCTTGGTGCAATTGAGGTTTCTGTTGGTCCAATGGTATCTGTTATCCTACAACAGAGGAATATCTTTCACTCCAAATACTGGGATTATTTCTAATTTACTATTCCATAAAGCATCTATTTCATCAGATACATTTTAATTACTATTGATGATCACATAAATCCTCCTTGCTTCCTCTTCGTTCTCAATCTCAGTATTAATTCTTTTATGAAGACAGGAAAGTAAACAAAGTAAACCTAACTGTTTTCCCTAAAACAGTATGCCACTATCCACAGCCTGCCACTGAGGGTGGCAGAGAATGAGTATAGTCCCAGAGACTGCTCTTAGGGAAAGAAAATGAGATTGAAAGGAAATAAACAGAAGTCTTCTCATAAGGTTTTGGTCAAAATCTAGAGCCAAATCTCTAAACCCATCAGAGAACTAAAAACAAGAAACAACAAGAAACAGTCTCTCTCCCCTAGTTTGTACCCTAAGCCTAAGAAAGAAAAGATTTTGCCTCAGGGCATATAAAATACAAGAAACCAAAATTTTTAACAGGTGGAGCCACCTGCTCACATTCAACTTCTTAAATTTCTAATTTTGCTTTACCTAGAACACTAAATGTAAAATGGAAATTATATAAAGTTTATGCCTCTAGGACTTTTGCCCCTAGAAGTAGATGGTCAAATGGTAAATAAACAGTTTTGAAAGCAAGAGATGCTAATTCGAGAAGATACAGAAATTTGCTTTTCTCTTAAAAAAAAAAATTCTGAATGTACATATCAACTTTGCCTTTTATAAATTCAACATGAAAACTCAAAAAGCTTTTTAATACATTCATACGCTCACTTTCCAACAGAATTTGCCACATCTCTTTAACTACCATGTTCCCTTAGCACATTTTCAAATTATTTAATATTTTGAAATTTTTCATACATGTGACTTACCAAGCACACATCTGCTGCATTTGGAGAAAGTTTCGTCTACAACTGCACAAATCTACAGTTCTTTCCTAATACCTATATGTACCACAAGATGGAGCACTGCTAACAACTATCTTTCCAAGAAGAAAGGAATTGAAATTGAATCAAAAGATTTTAGAAAATCTTAGAAATGCACTGAGTGTATGTTTTTTAAAAACAATATTTGTGTTTTAGATAGGATGAGGGTATAAGTCAAATGAAAATAAAACTGAAAGTCAAGACCATGAAGACATATCATGTACACATATTAACTATATATCACTTTAATGATAATTATTTCTTGAATTCAAATTATGGATGTGGCACTAAACCCAATACTGTATTCCCTAAACTCAAATGACTGGAGGGAATACTGTATTCAGTCTTTCTACTTATCTATCCATTCTTTACTGGGTGGGTCCATAGGCCAGAAATGGCCCTGCCTTTTTCATGCTACATACACTTCTTAGAGATTCACAATACACATGAGCATATCAAAAGTTCTAAAAAGCATACTCAAAGTTCTGCACACTGTGTTTTATCCGGTGTCTCCTAATTTATTTTACCAACATACCAATATGTGTTACAAATTTATGGATACCTAACAGAACACTGCACAAGACTAGTTTGACAAATACTGCTATAGAGAATACAAAAACAATCCCTGTTTTTAAAGAATTTATAGTATGCATAGGAAGACACGGCCCATGTCTGTGAAAATAAAACAAAATGAGCCAGCAAAAATAATCATAGCCAAGCAAGCACTGCCAAGAGTTCCACGGGGAGTAAATCTACTTTTAAGCTAATTTGACTAAAGAAGCCTTCAGATAGGAACTGGATATTTAAATATATATATATGATTTCATTAGACAGTGAAAAAAAAAAAAAACACTAAGGATTCTGTGTGAAGGAATGGGAAGAAAATGCCTGGACAAATCACACTAAGTGAAGATACAAAATGATTCAAATGAAAGATGCAGTGATTACTGGTATCAACACTGCGGCTCAGCCTCATTTGGACTGTTATGGCAGTCACAGAGCTGTTTTCTCTGCTTCCCCTTTCCTCCATACTATCATCTGAACACTCTTCCTAAAACACATAACAGACTGTGTCTCTTTCTTGGCTAAAATCCTCCGATATGTTTCCAACTGCCAAGGCAGTGAAAGATGGAATGTTTCCATCTTTAAGACATACGACAGATAAGGGTCACATGTTTAACAGTCCCAAAAGCAGGTGCAGATTTTTTCTTTTTTTTTTTTTTTCTTCTTTTTGAGGTGGAAACGGGGTACGGTTTAAGAAGCAAAACAGAGTTTCACCAACTGGAGGCAAAAACAGTGGATAATATTCATGAAAGCTTTCTGAAAACTAACTAAAGATTTTTTTCCAAAGAAAGTCTTTTACATGAAAAAAGGCTAAGTTTTTTTAAATTACGCTTTATGTTTATATACATTTAGATCTTTTCAAGGTCTTCACTGATACTATTAATGAAAAGAATAACTTTATATTATTGCCTCAAAAGTAGAAATGAACCTTATTTTTTAAATATCTGCAAGACACAGATTTAACGTACTGCAGAGCGGCCTCAAGTGAGTCTATCAGTTACTCATTAAAATGTGAACTCTTCGGGAATAAAGAACACTGGGGAATTTTGCATATAACAACAGATATATGAATAAATACACTGTGTGCATTTTATGTCAAATAAAATATTTTGTATAAGATACAATACAAAAAAAGCCATGACCAAGAAATCTCCCCAAATGGAATATTATACCTGCCTTACAATCTAAGAATACAGCCATGATTATTAACTTTTAAGCTCAAAAAAAGCATAAGGAAAAAAGAAATCAAACATCAACAGATTTAGGTCTTAGCCTACATAATACAAGGTAAACATACCAATGCAGTACATTAACTATGGAAAATAAGATATAAAACATTATAATATTTGTCTTAAAAAATATTATAGTTATAACCATCCGTTAAAAATTCTGTATAGTATATATTCTAAATACTCTAAAATAGTTGTGTATAAGAACTTTTTTCTTTCCATAAATTAAAAAAAACTAGCTATAAACTCAAAACATAAAATTTCATAAATTAGAGTTGCCATGTGATGAAAATAATGGCAACCTTCTCCCAATAAAAAGACTCATTGTAATATCACCAGTTACACAATCACTTCTTTATTGCTGAGAGCGAGCAGTTCAAGCGGGACTGATGTCAAATCCTGTATCCAATATAAAAACTTTATTTTGTACTTGTTATCTAAACCCTACACAGCATGCAATAAGCAACACAAGATTTTTGTGGGTGAAGATAACAATCAATCACTGATATCTGGTAAGATTAAAGATGAGAACTATAACTTTTTTTTAAATGTCTATTCAAATTTCAGGATAGCTTTGCCTACCTGGCTTTTATTTGGCTTTTCCTAGCAGCTGCTTCACTAGCAGTCATCGGTTCAGGAAGAGCTGTAGGAATCGATGAATTCTTGGAAGAAAAAAACAAAACTTTTCATTTTAGTTGTCATTTTAATTCCAGAAACCTTTTAAAAAGTTATGGATATGTTCTTGAACTTTAAAAGTACTATCTGGAGAATAACAGCACAATTGGAAGAGCCCAGTCAATGTCACTGAACTGTGCATGTAGAAATTTTTGAAATGGTGCATCTTTGGCTAAGTGTATTTTCACCAAAATAAAGGTTGAGAAGTTAGAGGGTTGACATGTTGTGGGGCTGTTAACCAATGTCATAACACAATATGTGTACTACCGTTTCATGAGAAACTATTTGTTCTGTAAGCCTTCACCTGAAGTACAATTTTAAAAAAATGTAAGAAAAATAAATAAATAAAAGTACTATCTTTAAGATACTACTATTTTCACCTTAGATACTTATAAATTGTTCAAATACATATGCCAGATCTAATCTGCGAATATCACTGCATGTCATACAAATGTTACTTCCATACTCATTCTCCACAGAAATCCTTGGAAAATAAGCAGAAGACAAGAACATCATTGTAACCATTTTACAACTGGGCGAATCTTGGGTAAAAAGATTACATTACACTTATAAAATCAATGATTATTTCACACTTCGCAAAAAGCAGCAAACAGCAAGCATATGAGTAAACTGATGTTTCTAAATACTGCAGATAATTTTCATGACATTGCTTGTAAGGGTCAAGAAAACAAGGGCAGAAGGACTTATTCATCTGTTATGCCCTAGTGTTTTTGCCTCATAGTAAGTACTCAATAAATGTTTATTGAATGAAAAGCTAAAAACCCACAGACAGATGATGAATAAAGATACTTTCATTACTAGAATGCTAGAACTGCATAACGTGAAGCTTCAACTACGAAACTATTACATTAAAATAGTAAACAAAGAGGAAAGGTACCACCTTCATCCTTTTCTATGTTGTGGATAGATCATACATAAAAGCAAGCCTGTAAGAGCAAATCAGGCCACAACGATCTTCACAATGCTGAGAATGGCTTAAAATCATTAATGATTCTAGCAACCCATATTGGAACTGAGAGAGAAGTACCATACACAGTTTATCTGAGGTAGTTAAGTATACTGTGCAGAAACTAAGTAGAAGTCAAAGCCTCTGAATGATGTTAGCTATTGCAAACATGTTTTCCATGGACTAGGCACTGGGCTTTTGATTATTCTAATCCTCAATCACTGTCCATGTTTTATAAAAAAAGAAACTGAGATTAACCTCCCAAAAGATACAAAATCATCAGTCACTGATAAAATCAGAATTGAACCCAGGTCTCTCCAGTTAAAATGCCCATGCTCTTCACCAAAGGTTCCTAAACTTTCTCAGTTTACAGAGTGCTTTGTGCCTCCGTAATTTTTCACAGCACAGTGAGAAGGAAGAAAAAAAACCTAGCAGCCCTGTTTACAAATGTTTAGGTCAAACAACTTAATAGTAACTGTTCAAGCAGTGTCAGACAGATGTCACTATGTTTCCCTAAAAACACAAAATAACCTCGCAGTGCCCCTGAGTCTACTGCAGCTTGCAGGCCACCTCAATGCACAGTTTGGGAACTGAGGCTTTACACCGAAAATACTAAGCACACTATTAGACTGCTTGTCATGAAGCTAGTAATTCTGGAAATATATGTATCCACACACGATGGAATAAATTTTAAATTCATATTCTACTTAGAAAACTACTTACATTGATGTTGGAGACTGGACAATCCTTTTTGGCAAATTTAAATGCAAAATAGGACACTTGAAATATATCAGGTCTACGCTCTGGATCTGGTTCAAGCATGAACCCTGCAAGAATAGATCAAAATATTAAAAGTTTTACTGAATATAAAAGTTATTTAGGGTCACACTGTAGGCAAAAAATGCAATTTTTTCCTATTCCAACATCACTAATGATTCTAGTGAACTTTACGAATATTTTTAAAGAAAATTCAGAAATTACTACTCATATATAAAGTTAAACCATTATGCCATGTGAAAAGCAGATCTGTCTTAGAACAGCCCTGCACCAGAGATATGACAAATATAATTATTCTCTTAAGAAAGAGAGACAAAATAAAGTGAGTTTAGTGAATACTGGGGAATTATTCAAGAAGTTCCAGGCCACAGCGGGAGTCTTTATTCTCACTATTATCTAAAATATCTTTAATTTTTTAAAATGATCATAAATCATTGTGGGAAAAAAAGGCTAAACCATGTGCATTATACTCTATTTAACAAAGGAGTACAGGATCAACACTACAGTTTTCCAGAAATATGCTTTCTTCCCATACCAATAGTAACAATATTCACTATAGTACCGTGTTTTAACATGCCATATATATACAATGTTCAGAAGACTGAGCAGAACTTTAAGGTTCTACTATGAACAGATCATGAATAGATTTCTATGACACACCTTATCATCTTGCATGAAATACCCAACCCTTCATCTAACCAAAATGACCACTATCACTGTCTATTTCTTGGGTGATGTCTATTAATTCACAATTTTTACAAGACAGCTGACATATACTGTTGTTGTTAGGTGCCATTAAGTCAGTTCTGACTCACAGACCCTATGTACAGTAGAATGAAACACTGCCTGGTCCTGCACCATCCTCACAATCATTACTGTTTGAGCCCACTGTTGCAGCCACTGTGTCCATGAATGCAATTGAGGGTCTTCTTCCATTTCACTGACCTTCTATTTTACCAAACATGATCTCCTTCTCCAGGGACTGGTCCCTCCTGATAACATGTCCAAAGTATGTAAGATGAAGTCTCACCATTCTCCCTACTAAGGAGCATTTTGGCTGTACTTCTTCCAACACAGATTTGTTCATTCTTTGGGCAGTCCATGGTATATTCAATATTCTTCACCAACACCATAATTCAAAAGCATCAAATCGTTTCCAGTCTTCCTTATTCGTTGTCCAGCTTTCTCACGCATATGAGGTGAATGAAAATGCCATGGCTTGGGTCAGGTACATCTTAGTCCTCAAAGTGACATTTTTGCTTTTTAACATTTCAAAGAGGTCTTTTGCAGCAGATCTGCCCAGTGAAATACATCATTTGATCTCTTGACTGCTGCTTTCATGGGCGTTGATTATGGATCCAAGTAAAATGAAATCCTTAAAAACGTCAATATTTTATCCTATTATCCTGATGTTGCTTATTGGTCCAGTTGTGAGGATTTTTGTTTTCTTTATGTTGAGGTGTAATCCATACTGAAGGCTATAGTTTTCAATCTTCATCAGTAAGTGTTTCAAGTCCTCTTCACTTTCAGCAAGCAAGGTTGTATCATCTGCATATTGCAGGGTGTTAAGGAGTCTTCTGCCAATCCTGATGCCACATTCTTCTTCATATAGTCCAGTTTCTCAGATTATTTGCTCAGCATACAGAGTGAATAAGTAGAGTGAAAGGATACAACCCGATGCACACCTTTCCTGATTTTAAACCACGCAGTATCCCCTTGCTGTGTTCTAGTGACTGCCTCTTGGTCTATGTAGAGGTTCCATGTAAGCACAATGAAGTGTTCTGGAATTCCCATTCTTCACAATGTTGTGTATAATTTGTTATGATCCACACAGCTGAATACCTTTGCAGAGTTAATACAACACAGGCAAACATCTTTCTGGTATTCTCTGCTTTCAGCCAAGATTCATTTGACATCAGCAATGATATCCCTCATTTCACGTCCTCTTCTGAATCCAGCTTGAATTTCTGGCCGTTCCTTGTCAATGTACTGCTGTAATCGCTCTGTAATTGTCTTCAGCAAAATTTTACCTTCATGGGATATTAATGATGTTCTTGGATAATTTCCGCATTCTGCTGGATCACCTTTCTTTTGAATGGGCACAAATATGGATCTCTTCTAGTCAGTTGGCCAGGTAGCTGTCTTCCAAATTTCTTGGCATAGATGAGTGAGCATTGCCACTGTTGCATCCATTTGGTGAAACATCTCAATCCGTACTTCGATTCCTGAAGCCTTGTTTTTCACCATCCCCTTCAGTGCAGCTTGGACTTCTTCCTTCAATACCATCGGTTCTTGACCATATGCTACCTCTTGAAATGGCTGAACATCAACCAATTCTTTTTGGTACAGTGACTCTGTATATTCCTTGTATCTTCTTTTGACATTTCTTGCATCGTTCAATATTTTGCCCATAGAATCCTTCAACATTGCAACTCGAGGCTTGAATTTCTCTTTAGTTCTTTCAGCTTGAGAAATGCTGAGCCTGTTCTTCCCTTTTGGTGTTCTAACTGCAGGTCTTTGCACATTTTATTATAATACTTCACTTTGTCTTCTCAAGCCATCCTTTGAAATCTTCTTTACAGCTCTTTTATGCTATCATTTCTTCCTTTCTCTTTAGCTAAGTCTACATGTAAGAGCAACTTTAAGAGTCTGCTCTGACATCTGTTTTGGTCTTTTCTTTATTTTTAATGACCTTTTGCTTTCTTCACGTATGATGGCCTTGATGTCATACCACAGCTCATCTGGTCTTCAGTCATCAGTGTTCAATGAGTTGAACGTACTCTTGAGATGGCCTCTAAATTCAGGTGCGACACACTCAAAGTTGTACTTTGGTTCTTGTGGACTTATTTTAATTTTCTTCAGCTTAAACTTGAACTTGCATATGAGTAATTGATGGTCTATTCCACAGTCGGTGCCTCGCCTTGCTCTGACTGATGATATTTAGTTTCTCCATAATTTCTTTTCACAGATGCAGTCTATTTGCTTCCTGTGTATTCCATCTGGCAAGGTCCATGTGTACAGCTGCTGTTTATTTCATTGAATAAAGGTATTACCAAAAAATACATATATATACAATGACATACAGTCTCAAGTCTATTAACTGAAAAATTCATATTTTGTTAAGTCATTTCCATGTTCTAACTCTCCAATACATTTTACTATCTAAAATTCAAGTAACAGATAAACAATTCAAAAGAAGGTGTTTCTTTATGGAAACAATCATAATTCAGGCTAAAAACAAAAACAAGTAGTAAAATGAAAACAGATACACAAAGTACTGCTTCATTAAGTTCTCATAATGTTCAAATCATTTTTTAAACTTATTTGAAATGTAAAATTTATAGCATTAGTTAAATATTATGAAGTCTGTTAATAAAGCATAGATAGATCAAAGTATAAAATGATTAACATAAAATTATAAATCCAAATGAATTAAATCTTTCCTTCAAATTAAACTAATATTTTGAACAAAGAATATGCAACCTATCTCCAACATCATAATACTCTTATTTCGGTTAAAAACACAATTGTGTGGCAAACGACACTAAGCAAAACAAGGAATTTATTTTGGAGATTCTGAGCTCAGTTTTAAAAAATACAAAAACTCAGCATGTAATTTGATTTTATGTATTTTAAAATACTAATGTATATCACATATAATTGATTTTTATAACTGTATCACCATTGTTAGATTCAAATAATTAAAAACATTGTAATTCTAGTATTTATTAGTTTATATTCAACCTCATTCCAGAAAAGATTTGAGGAATCTACAACATTTATTTTTACCCCCAAAATAAATCGTATTTTATCTTAATACCAACAGTCATTTCATCTAATGTTTAAAAGTAACAAGCAACATGAAATGGGGGTAAATTTAAATATACTTTTAACAATAAATGTTTTTCATATAATTTACTAAGCAAATCAAGTCACATCAAATTCACACTTACACTCCTATTTTTCTATTCTAATAAGTTTATTTGGCTTTTAAAAGCTAATTTCAACAGTAGCTAATTATAATTATTTACTGACATAAAGGATTTGCAGTGGCATAATAAACTGTAAAGTTTTTTAAATGTGAGAAAATTAGGATTAATGGAAAAATAATGGTTAAAAAAAGAAGAAAAAATTAAAAGAATAATGAGGACAGTATGGAAATTGCATATGATTTGGTCCTATAAATGCAGACCAAACATTTAGCTCTCCACTTTCTAGCTGTCAACACAAATAGGGCAACATGATCCATTACGTGAACCAGAGTGTCCTTAACACAAAAACAAAGTGCTCAGGAAAAGCACTATTCTTGATACTGAAAGCAGGGAGCAAACTCTCCCTCAGGTACTTCTAAAGACAGCTCACACAAAATGAATAATATCCTTAAGGAATTGCAATGTGTGACATAGGCCCATATCTTACACACACTCCTTCAGTGTGAACCAGTGTCATAAACCTAACTGCAGTTCAGTAAAAGAAATCTTACAAGGGTAGAGAACACTATGGTATACATATAAACTTGTCTGGTGGCCTGGCTTCATCCAGGAAAATTTAGTATCTCGAGAGAAACAGAATGATCCTGAATTCAGGCAATTCTGTACAGTTTTCTTTCACAGTAGTTGAGAAACAATGAGGGGAAATAAATTTTAGATTTTATGTTCTCTAGCCAATACATGGACAGGTAATTCTATCTTTTCAAGTTAAGCAAAGCACCACATCCTCTAAGGATTAGGCAGCCAGGCTGGGGGTAGTATATGAGCAAACAAAGGGAATTCCAACTCCCTGACTCATCAACGTGGGAATACATCTTGCTAGAGTCAGTTTAATTTGTCTAACTGCACTGATCCCACTTATGTGACATAAAATCAATTTAAAGGGTCATGACTAGCATTTATTTTAATGAAGCAGAATAGAAAATATTAGAGTACATCACTGTAATAAGTATAAGCAATATTTCATGAAATTTTTTTCAGTTATACACGTACTGTGCGTGTATGCATGTATGTGTGTGTACTCGGTTGTAACTAAACATGTACTTTTTACTGTGGATCATAGTCAAAACAGTTTGAAGATCACTGTGCCAGTGCAGTACCATGGTCTCTCTCTCCTATTATTCATTCTTCCCCAAGAAAAAGCTAGGAAAAAAGCAGCACCTGTATGCATCAATCTCTGATGCTCTTTCTTTCAGAAATGTTACTCTCAGGACATACATGTTCTCTGCTAAAGCATGTACTGCAAGTGGCCTGCCTCTGTGGAGGAAGCTTAGAGTTTTCCAGCACTTCCAAGACACAGTGTGGGTAAATTTAAGGGCTGAGCACAGATTAGCAGACCCATTTGGCTTCAGAACTAAACTTTATTCTGCAATCAGCTTTCTCAATACTCAAGTTGATAATCTGTTGAGTTCCTGTGTCCCATCTCTCATTTGGTTTTAAACTCAAAGTATGAAGAAGCCACCACAAAAAGAACTTGGTTACATTTTTATCTCTAAATATTTTCTAATTATTATAAGCCATTGAGGAAAAAAAAAAAGCTCAATGAGGCATCGTTAAGCATTTAATTTTAAGTAATATAATTTCCTAAATTCTCCAAGACAATGGGTTACAAAATATATACCTGGATAACTAACCGCTATAATCTGGAGTGTAGTGGTATCAGCTCTAAACCAGCTAAAACAGTGGGGTATATCTACCAAGAATGACAACTTCAGTTTTTAAGTAGTTGGTCCAAAGCCATTTTCTCTTTCTACAATTAGACTGCAAGCCTAATGCTTTACTAACTTCTGGTTTATGACAATAAAACCATATCATCTACAGAAATGTGTTCCTGGAGGAAGACAGGGATAAGGGAATATATTTATCCAGTCCATCCAAAAATAACATCAAGTGATTAAAAGTTAAAAAAATAAAAATAAAGAAGGCAGAGAAGTTGGAATACATCCTTGTTTTCTCAACTTAAAAAGATTATCTGATAGACACATGGACACCTATGTTCACTGCAGCACTGTTCACAATAGCAAAAAGATGGAAACAACCTAAGTGCCCATCGATGGATGAGTGGATAAACAAAATGTGGTACATACATACCATGGAATACTATGCAATCATAAAGAATGATGAGTTCTCAAAACATCTTATAAGGTGGAAGAAACATCTTATAAGGTGGATGAAACTGGAGAACACTATACTGAGTGAAATAAGTATATGCTGCCTAGTCTCTCATACCTGGAGCCCTGGTGGCGCAGTGGTTAAGCATTTGGCTGTTAACAAAAAGGGTGGCATTTTGAATCCAGCCGCTCCTTGGAAACGCAATGGGGCAGTTCTAATCTGTCCTACAGGGCCACTATGAGTCAGAATTGACTTGATGGCAATGGGTTTGTTTTTCTTCGGTTCTCTCATACCTTCCCATGGACAGTATTGTCCAATGAGAATATTCAGAGTCTCTAAGATATTGCAAAAACCCTAATAAAATCCTCAGTTCAACTGTGATTAAAACTTATATGTAGTCAACAAAATAGCATAACAGTTCCAATGATTTACAAAAAGGGCTCTAATAAAAGGTTAAACTTCAATTAGAACATTCAACATGCACAATATATTCCTCAACCTATCCTTTGGGCATTCAAATTAATCAGTTTTTTCATGCTCTCAATACCCTAATTTTTGGATGACAAAGGGTGAATGGGTTAAGGGTCTAGTGTTTGTTATATTTTAAACGTAGTTTTTTTGCTACTAAAAACAAATTCACATTCTGTAAAATGGCACTCTACAAATAACAAGGCTTATGTGAAAACAGGGTTGAGGCACACGATTTTACAACTTTGTTACCAGAGCACTGACAAAAACATCAACTGATACCTGGGAAGGTAACTTGGACTGCCCAGGCAGGTTGTTCAGTTTGGCTAGAGGCTGCTACAAGGATATAAAAACATATAAACAATGCTGGGAGGTGCTCAATCAATGACAATGGAAGTGGAGCTCGGAGCTTATCAGGCTGCCACGATGGGGACATGCTTAGCCACACAAAACTGAGAGGCAGATCTCTCTAGAGAGAAAACCCCAGGTAAGAGCACCTATATTTAATATTCTCGAATAAAGGTGAAAAGTGTTCATGTCAGCAGTGCAGTGGTCAAGCTCAGGGATATTTCCATTAGCCTGAAAATTGTAACATCACCTCCCCTACCCCATTATTCTGGTTCCTCTAGACTAGGAAAGCAACATAATTTCTGTGTTAAACTGATATAATTCTCTAACTTCCAACATGTATGAGCAAATCCACATTATAGAAATAAAAAGGCCATGCTTTAAATGATAAGTGTGCAAAGCAAGGCTAGATTTCCTATTATGCCCATTTTTCTTTTGGTCATTTTGCCCATTTTTATATTTTGGAGTGTTTGTCCTTTTCTTTTTGATTTACATGAGTCTCATAAATTACAAACGCTAGCCATTTGTTAAATGTGTAACAAACATTTTTTTCTAGTTTATTATTTGACTTTGTGCTGGGGTTCGTGGATTTTATACTTTTAATGATCTAAATTTAATGGTTAAGGGTATTGCTCTTCATTGTTTCTGGGATTTACTGCCCAGCTTATAAACTCCCCTTTCCAATCCTATAAATAAATTCACACTGTTTTTTTCCAAGTACATTTATGTTTTATTTTTAACATTTAAATCTTTGATCTTCTGAAATTTTAACACACGGAATGAGGCAGAGAGCCACTTTATATTTTGTACCCAAATAGCTAAGAAAATCTTTTTTCCCACTGAGTTGAACTGCCGTCTTTATCATATACAAAACATCAAATATTTATACGGACTCTTCTTTCTATTTTACTGATCTATGTATCTTGAGACTATGGCAGGAGATATTTAAAACGGACAAAACTGAGTAGAACTGCTAGAAAATTTGAATTAAAACAGTGCTGAAAGGTGCCGTTTAAATACTGCAGCTTCCTAATATATTTTAATATCTAATAGGCTAGTCTTCCCCTGCCCCCAAATCATCTTTTTCAGAAATTATACCACGTATTTAATATAAACAGTTAAATTATAGTATCTATCAAAAAAGAAGGAAAAAATTTTAAAGGTAGAAGAAAAACAGATACTCTTTGGAATCAAGGGACAACAAGACTATCCCTTCTGATATTACCTTAGTTATTTCTTTTAACTATTTCATAATAAATAAACTATGGATATTAAATGGGGTGGCAAGATAAGCTATAATCTAAGACTAGTAATACTTTGGTTTAAAAAAACAAAAGATCAAGACATTTGGATTTCCAAAGTACAAAGACTGGCTAATTAAATGTTATGCTGTAAGTTTTTCCAGAAATTCCAGTTTCCTTAATTATGTAAACTCTGTTTGTATGCTACTAAAAAGCTTATCTAGGAGTTTAAGACATCAGTCTAATAATCCGTAATTAGGCTGCTTTCATTCTTACAACAGTCTTATATCCTTTTTCACATTTTATCTTTACTATAGTTTCACAAAATTATAATACATGAAATAAAAAGACTAGGTTTTTAAGTGAAAAGGTATAAACAGCAGGCCCTAAATACAGTATTTTACAATTTTTTCATAAATTTTACCAAGTACTTACTTATTAAGCAATGCATGTTATGAGAGTAACGAGAATTGTCTGGGATGGTGAAGGTGCCATCACAGATAGCAACCTGACTCTCACCAAAAGGAAGAGTGAAGAAACAAAGTTTATACAGTAAACATCCCAGTGCCTGTAAAACAAAGAAGCATGAAAATCATCAGAGCTAAAACAATCAACTTAACCATAAGACATAAACATAGTCAAAAACCAAAACTGAAATACGTTATTGAAGAAACAAAACCCAAATTTTTTATACTGGATCAATCTTTTCACAAATTATTGTTTAAGCAATCCTTAACCATGTTTAATTTTTGAAAAGACATTCAACTATATTATTTCCATGTTCTTCTATCACATATGTGGCTATCTGACTGAATCAGAAGCTATCACAGAACTCTAAATTGTGAATGCTATAACTAAAGTAGAAATGACTGAGTCCTTCTGGGAAAAGAAAATGATAATTTTATTTCTTCCGCAAGTAAAACATGTATTTATTAGTACATGAATAGCGTATAACAAACAAAGTAAGCTCAAGGCTTCTTCTAACAGCACTCTTTTAAAGAGTCACAATAAAATATGTTTAAAAATACTAGAATTCTAAATATGGGTTAACCAGCACAGTTAAACTGATTAGACAACCATCAATAAGCACATGTCATTACTTCATACTATAAAAATTAGTTCTCTATTTCCGTGTATAATCCTATAATTTTTATTCTATATTAAACTAATTATATTTGTACCTGGGTAATCTATATTAAAGTTCAAAATGGAAAGGTTCTGTCTGCTTAACTTGCATGGCTTCATAAACAGCACAGCATCAATAAATCTACCTGCTGACAATGAAGGCAAAATATCCTAAAACACAAATTGTATCTGGAAAAGCAGCAGAAGTTTCTGGCTTAACTGCTAACAGCTCAAACCAGAGAAGCAGTAATAAAATGTGACCTGCTGCTCAAAAAACCATGACTTTGTTATAAGAAGTGTCAACTACAAGCCTTACAAGTTTACAGAGCATTTTCAATTCTAAACAGATGGCATAGAATTATTATAAAATTATCCAATAGTTAGTATATAACTCTATCAGTAATATTGAAATGTGGTCTTCTAGCTAAAAATGAGCAAATCAGATTTCCTCTGTTGGATTTTCTCCACACATCAATTTAGCAAACACAGCTAACTAATGAGTATGCCAAGTTTTATAAACACTATGAAGATAATCATCTACAGAAACACCTTTGTGAGTTCAACAATACTAATGTGTAGAACATTTTCAATATGATAGCAGTCCCCCAATGAGAAAAGCTATTTAAAAAACAGAAATTTCAATAAACTAGTTCAAAGATGTTACTGAGTGAATGTACCATGTCTAACAAAATTGTAGATGATGACTAGAAATAATCACTTCAATTTGTTGTTGTTGTTTTTAATTATGATTCTTCTATAAGGTATTTTCAAGATGTATCCAGTAATTGAGCATAAGGCTCCCTTAACAGCAGTAAAAAAAAAAAAATCAATTTTATAATATCTGCATTAAATTATACTTTTTTTTTTAAACTGCCCAGATGACAGTCTGACAGTCTAGGCAAAACAGATCTGCATTTAGTCAGTTTTATCTTGTCAAACAAACTTTTAGTAATGTGTCTTGTGTTAAAGTAACTGCTGTGGAGATAACAATCCAGATAATTTTAGCCATGTCAGGATACTTAAGACATAAAGCTAAAATACTCTGCTTCACATAGTGTGAACAGATGAGGTGTCCCAATTTTTTCACACCAAAGCCATTTCTCTCTTTATCCATTTGATATAATGAGAGCTGTTCTAGAACAGGAGGGAACAAATGATCTGATTTTGAATGCTGAATATTATCATCTTCAATTTTACTCATTAAAAAGTAACATGAAGCATCTCCTACTGAATTTCCTAAATGCTTAATAAAATCACCATCCTAGATCTCAGAATAAAAATGTCCTACAATGCAAACTTCCAAGTAATTAAAACAAAAATCTAAAATATGAAGTGCTCAACAGAACACTCTGAAATAGGATCAGAAATGATTATAATTGAATACTTTTTCTGGATATCCCAGAATTTACACTTAAAATGTTGCAGCATGCTTCTATTTCATCTGAACTAAGTAAGACAACATAAGGATGGCATCATGGAAATTGAACTCCTACCTCTTTCAAGCATATAAACATAGATACTGTTTTCTGATTATTTCTTCTTCTTCCTTTTTTTATCTTGGAGTATCTATTTGTAATTCCACAGCTATATCCAGTTATCCATTATAAAAACAGTAAGTAATCAAAACTGGTATAAAATTTAGAAGTATCACTGACAACTTAATATGCTGCCTGGCATGTATACTAATTCTGACAAAAAAAAATGATTAAAGAAGTGGATTTCTTCTTTGTGTTAAGATATTAAGTTATAATTGTGTGCTTAAAAAAACAAAACCAAACTCAACAGCTGTCAAGTCTATTCCAACTCACAGCAACCCTATAGGACAGAGTACAACTGCCCCATAAGGTTTCCAAGTCTGTAAAATCTTTACAGAAGCAGATTGACACATCTTTCTCCCATGGAGTGAATGGTGGGTTTGAGCTGTTGACTTGTCAGTTAGCAGCCGAGTGCTTAACGATAGCACCACAAGGGCTCCATTGTGAGCTTAGAGAATTTTTTTTTTAATTGACCCTTGATGATTTCAAAAAAATAGTGAAGCTATGATGTCTACTGTTTTGCTCTACTACTAAAGTACTCTTTTCAGGTCATATGGAATTCAAAATCAATTGCAAAATTACATCAGAAAAGACCTCCCATATAACCTCTTCTAATATCGTCAGTTAGTAAGTCGAGATCCAATTCAATTTGCTTCCTACACAATACATAAGCCCTCTTTACTATAAGCCCTTTAATAAGCCACACGTTAATGCTCAGGAAAACAAACCAAGTTTGAATTATATAAGCTGGTGATCTATTAGCAGTAACAAATTAAGTAAACAGAACTTATTTACAGTTTGATTCAACCATGTATATGCTTAAAATTCAACATCTACATATTTTAAGAATCTGGTAAAAATGCGTATGGTATATAGACAGGTGAAAAGATATCAATGATATTCTTTATTACACTGCAAGAATATTTGTTTCTCTAAGATTTTGTTTGGCACCCCACCTCAAATACAGAGGAAGCCAGGAGAGAAGAACCAAGAGATACTCACACTTGGTTTCACGTATTATGCTCAACTACTTTCTGAACATTATGGGTTAAAAACAGTATAAACCTCACTTTTCTTGTAAAGCCTAGAACTATCTCCAAAAGAGTTTTATTCACCCATACCTAATATGGTGACTAGTGGTAGATATGGCTACATAATTGCTGAATTTAAATGAACTCACATTTAGAAGTTTCCTGCTAGTTTATTAAATATAACTAAAAATATATTTTATTTATGAAATGAGTTCTAAAGAGGTGTTGATATTCTAACATATAGTTAAACTATAAAGAAACATGATGTAATGTCAATTCAATACAGACTAAATTATAATGCTAAATTATAACAAATCTTAATATACAGAAATCAGTCAATGGCATGTTTATAATTAGAAGAAATTTTTACTCACATTAGTTTCTGTTCATAAGATCCTAAAGCACTCCAGAAAACAACTTAGAGTAATTACTTAAGCATTATGTCCAGCTTTTCTGTACTGTGATCAACCAAAAAGCCACCCAGTAAGAAAAACGTTAACACTCACATAATCTAAATTCTAAAAAACTGTGTTAAAGATACATTATAGGGAAGTCCTTTATTTGCTTTTTTTTTTTTTTCTTTTTGCAGAAGGTTTCAATCTTAGGATTGAGAAGATAAAATATTGTAATATTTTTCTTCCCCTAAACAAGAAGTTCTACTCTACACCACCCTCTACTTATTAGGAAATACCTTTTGCGGGTAAGGGTGGAGGGGG